TTGTTACCTAGGTAAATCTCTATTGAGCAACACACGCATTTGGAAGGGAGGAGTCAGGCACTTAGTCAACGGCATCAATCCAGCAGATTCCGTTGAAGCCAATTTGGGTGTGGGTCAAAAATAGGTGCACAAAATGGGTTGCCCTGGTAAATGGAACCCAAAAACTAAAACCAGCGGTCCCTGGTGGTTTGATTTTGGCCCATACGCATTTGTTTGAAGGCACGGGTCCCGTTTAAAACGGGACACAAAGTCGGTCTAAGGACCTGAATCTTAGGGCTGTCCCGTTAGGCCAAGAGCCGATTTGCTTCGTAGTGGGAAAACACGGACAAGGTCCTGCAAAGGAAACGCAGATACGTAGGGGTGTATCTTTTTTAGGGGACCCCCCAAAATGCGGTTTTCCCTTTGCCCCCGCCCTTTATGGCAGACTTATCCCAACTTGGTGTTCATTCAATTCTCCTCTGCAAAGGCCACCCTCTCCTGAATCCCCCAAGCCCAATCATATGGCCCCTTGAGGTAGACCTTTCGTTTGGTAACCCATGGCGTTCGAATTCGGCGGGCACTCCCGAGCAACACCACCCATCAACAGAACGAACCTGATTTGGTTAAAACATTCCATTGAGGGACTGTTTGGACATCAATAATTCGGGGGATACATGTCCACCAACCACTTTTCAGGGTGTTGTCTTCCATTTGCTCAAGTCCCCTGGAACAAACAAACAGAGGTCCAAGAGTGATTGCCCTTAAAACCAACCGCAGAAAATAAAACATATCTCGGTTGCTTCTCCTCCCCTGCTAACAGTTTTTAACTTTTGGTGGTTCAATGGAAAACCATTTAAAGTTGGCAAAAAGCTAAAGTCCCAACATCCTTTGGCAAAATGCACCAAAGATATTCTGAAGCAAATTTTGGGTATGGGTCAAAATTTAACCACCAGGATATGGACCGCAGGCTTTAATCCTTTCCATTCGCCAGGGCACCCCATTTTGGGGTTAGTTATATGCCCCACTGTGGATGGACGAAATCCTGCACCACCTGAAAAATCCAGGTTTCTGATGATTCACCTGTAAATACCAACGAACATTCTGGTTTCCCTATGGTTTCAGTTCGTGTTCCTATTTTTGACCACAAAAACCGCTGCCATTTGAGCCACAAAAAAAACACGAAATCCCAAGGCGAAGGAAGGCCTCAGCGGTCACCAGAAGCCATTGCCCGAGACCCATGTTCACCACCACGTTCTCCCTGGCAAGGGTTCGTGACGATTTTCGCCCGGCTTTGCCTAAGGTTCATCAGGAAACCAAGAAGAAACCGGGCGAAACCCAATCGGGATACTTACAGGGGCATTGTACTTAAGTGGTTAGGAAGCCTGGTTATAACCCACTGAACGGAGAATTATAACCATGGTAAGTGGGTTATAACCAGGCTTGCTAACCACTTACTAAGTACCTTGCCCCTTTCAGTAGCCCCTTTGCCCTGGGGTCCAACTTGCCCCAATTAAAAGAATGGCCCCAGGGGACCCATGCTAGATGATGACAATGCATTGATTTAATGGTGGTTTGAACCCCAGGGTTTGCGCCAGCTCACTGAGGGTTGAAGGAGACAAGGCCGAATGCTCAGCCCCAAGAGGGTTAGCTTTACTAAGACATAAGGACATGGCCGTGTGCTAGATCAATCCACGGCCTCTCCAAGTCAATATAAGACTCCTTCGTCAAACTAAGGTACCTCAAACACGGTGTTGTGTTTTTGGGGGTTCCTTTTACCCCCAGCTTTGACACACCATTTTGGCTTCATAAAGAAAAACTGACTGGGAGTCACCCCCAAAACGATATATTGCTTAAGAGGACTATTGGCTATGGGTCAAAAGCCAAATCGTACCGCCAGTGGACATCCCAATCCCCACTAAAATAGGTTCTACAACGAGTGGTGCACCTACCTTGAAATGGTACCACTGGTTTTGACCCACAGCCATTTGTGTCGTGGCTTTAAAGGGAAAACCGGAAACAGAACTTCTGCCCATTTTGCAGGCCTAAAAGCAGACCCAAATGGACAAGACTTGGCCGACCAATGCGCGTCCAGTCTTACAGGTTGGAGGGGTCCTTGTTCGGCAAGACTTAGACTTAGACCCGCGAAATTCACATCTTTTGCTGGTTGAAAGGGATGGAACCATGAAGGAAACCCCAAAGCATCAAAAAGTGAGGAAAAAAAGGCAAGCAATGCGCCTGGCACTGTTCCAGTCACATTTTGGACGAACATATGGTTGCCTCGATTTTCCGGGGGCAAAACCCCCGGATGTGCGCCCAATAAAGTTCTCCATAGAGGAAGCATATTGGGAGGTGAAAACTCGCTGAGACTGAATTGAATATCTGGGCTGCCCTCAGATCCTCTATATACCCTTCCTCTTGTTCCAAATGCCCCGCTTTTCTTAGGATACATAGAACTAAGTTGTCAATTGTAAATACATCCTGCTTTAGCCAGGGCGGACATCATACCCTGAACAAAGTGGGTATTGGGTCTAGGGGTTTGTAAGTCTGAGAGGGTTCTGGAACAACGCCCGAACCTAAAAGTGAACAGAACCCCCCTAAAAAACAACATGAAAAAAAAACACACACACACACACACCAAACAAAAAACTATCAGCAAACTCCCCCCCCCCAAAAAAAAAAAAAAAACAATGCGTGAACATAATTCCTCCCGCCCCCCCCCCCCAAAAAAAAAAAAAAAAGATGGAAAAAAAACAACGACCACACAAATGAACCCCCCTAACCCCACCCCCCCACCCGTAAATATATATATATATATATACATAAAGAAGAAGAACAAAAAGTGCCACCAGTGAAGCCCACCGCCCACGGCCCCCCACAGCCTGTACATTGCCATACACAGCGTCACGATGAGGACGCCCATGCACATCACGTCCACCATAGACCTGGCTGTGGATCCTGTCTTTTTTGAACCAAAGGGAAACGCAGGTGCTTTGAGGGTTCCATCTCAAAGCCAAAGACGGACTGAGGTCTTCTGAACATCAGAACTCTTCCGGGTCCTCATCCCTCCGTGAGGAAAGGAACCACGTTCTCCAAAGAGGAACTAAGTTGCCAAAAACGTTTGGAACCCCGGCATTGCCGTAAACGCCAAAAGCGCTTTGGGGTCGCCAAGTGAGCTGATCAACACTGCATCCAGACCAGCGGATTGCCAGCGGGAAGAAATATATCGACACTCTTTGCGTTGCTTGATTTTAAGCGGACACCTCACCCCTCTCCTCACTTGCTGAGTGGATGGCCCAAAAAAAGTCCAAACTTTATATTTGCCACTAAAATGGTCCAAACCCGAAAAGTTTAAAGTTCATGAACTCAGGAAGTGAGTCTCCAAACAAAATCTGACAAAGGAGCTCGCAAGCCTTTCGAGACGCAAGTGAGATGGAACTTGCTTCCCCCACAGGACCTGGAAATCAAAGGTGAGCACCTTTTGCGGCCCATTCAAGGCAACAACCAGTTGGATGGTTTCCTTGGGGCCATTCCATTTCTCATTCCCTGCATATCGCACCAGAAAGTATTGCGGCCACGAACAGTTGACCAACAAGAAAAATGGGGATCTTGGCACCCCACCACCTCCACCCCACCACCCCCACCCCACCACCCCCACCCCACCACCCCCACCCCACCACCCCCCACCCCACCCCACCCCACCCCACCCCACCCCACCCCACCCCACCCCACCCCCCCCCACCCCACCCCACCCCGATCAGTTCAAACCAACTGGAGCTCTAGGGTCCCTTTCAGTGGTTTGGCGGTTTGGAGCCGGAGCCGAATTGGTGCTTTGGAGCTGTCGTGGGTGTCCCGTTTATCTGAGAACCAGGGTTTCAAATCCGAATCCGCCAACCTGACTTGGTTGACGTTGGAAGGGGAGCAACAAAAATAAATTTTAGCAGCTAAGCGGTTGGATTTCAACCACTAAACCACAATGAGCAAAAATGTAACATGTGTCCCAACGACAACCATGCTGAGGGTGTTTTTTTTCTTTCCGATTTCTTCCCCTGTCGATGGACTTCGGACTTCGGACGGGGGCCCGGCAGCTTTTTTAGGACCCAGGACAGCTGCATGAGACCTGAGGCTTGCGGAAGGCAAGGGTTGCGGGGGGGGTGGGGAGGAGCGGGGGGAATAAGAGATACTGTGGATGGTTGCGAAATCCATTTCGCACCACCTAAGAAACCATGGTTTCTGATGATTCCCTGTAAATACCAACAAACCATGGCTTCAACCATGGTTTCAAAGTGATGCGAAATGGATTTTGTCCATCCACAGCATGTTGAGTCTACCCAAACACATCGGGGGGGTTCGTTTGCCCCAGAATGGATCAGAAGGAGACGCCATGGCGATTGGGAAGCTCCCGGAACTCCCACCTCCAGTCTTCCGGAAGCTTCCATCATGGGGGCTGGGGGGGGGAGGGGAGGGGAGGGAGCCCCAAAAAGGGCTTATTTGGGCTCCCTCCCTCCCCTCCCTCCCCCCCAGCCCCCATGATTCCATGTGAGGGTAATCACCCGTGGATGAGCGCATAATAAAACGGGAGTCTTCCCCGCTTGGTGAATGATTCTTTCAGGAACGCTCCTGAAAACCTTCAAACCGTATGATATTGCGTTACTGCAACTAGGGCCTATGTCTCCAATGTCACATGGGCATGACCAAACCATGCATTTGCAAGCAACCAACACCAAGCCTGACTTCACCATGGAGCCGAATGCCGCATGGACCCCTTGACTGCACGCGCTTTTTTTGCCGTCGCGGTGGCCGCACACGTGCAGCTCGCGACATGCAGCACAGGATGGGGTAAAGTTGGAATTATTCTTGGTGCAGACACCATCTAAAATATGAGCCAAACAGAAACCAGAAACACCAATATGGACCGCCATCCAAAGGGTCCCAAGCTCCAGATACCCGAGCTCCACATACGCAGATTTGTTTGCAGACTGCCAACTTCATGCATATGTTCTAACCGGTTTTACCGGGTTCGATGCCACACGTGCTTCGCGGCATAGGCATCTGAAGCTCGGGAGATCAGCCGCGCGGAGACTACCCTGCTTCATCCACCTGAAAGCGCGCCCGCAGAGGAAAACCAGCGATACCCCTCGTGAATTGATGGAACCCAGTGATTGAAATTCCGCTCGTTTGAGATTTGTGTATATATATATATATATATACATGTAAAGAAAAGGTTGCCAAGAGGCAGAGGGATAGGCAATCCACGTGGCATGAAACCATTTTTGCGCGGAACTCGGACGGATTCAGGCGCCTATCAATGTCGTGCCCTCTCACAGGGAGTCCGTAAACTTGAAGATTGGCTCACTGAAAAGTGGTGATCATGATTGGACTTCGGCCCTGTGTCCATGTATGTATGACGTCTTGTGTGCTTCACGTCTAGTCACTCGTAGCATGCAACATCCCAACTGCAGCTTCCATCTGCTCAAGGTGCCACTCAACGTACATAATATATATATATATATATACCCAATGCTTCCTCGACTATTTTTTAAATAGGGGTTGTTCAACCCCTATTTTTTGCATTGACAACCCCTATTTTTTGACATTGGCCTTTGGGGTCCGTTTTGGGTTGTTACTTTGTTTGTATTGAAATTACGCCTGCTATTGCAACCTCTCAAGAAGCCTTGGGAGCCAGTAGGTTACTATTTATTGATAGGGTCCTCGGCGCCCTTTCGTGTTTGCACAATGCACCTGCTGAAAGTCTTGCGTAGACGGGGCCAAATTCTAGAATTTTCCTCTGCAATTTGCGCAGGTGGAACGAACAACAAGCAATTGTGTGCTTGTTTTTTCCGCTCCAATCTTCACACAGCTCCAAAAACGATGTGAGCGTAGACAAACCGTAGACAAAGCGTAGAAAAACCGTAGAAACACCATTTTTCGGCGTAGAACCACTATTTTTTGGCGTAGAACCACTATTTTTTGGCGTAGAACGACTATTTTTTGGCGTAGAACGGGCAAATTTTGCAGGGGACCCAGAAGATCAACATTCTCACCCTGGAATGGTTGCTGTAAAGGGTAAATATTTTTGCTGTCCCGTTTTGCTTGGTTTGGCTAAGAAGGTGGGGCAAAAGAAGGACAGAAACGGTCAGAAGAGGATTCACCCTCACGCGCTACATGGCCATGTTAAGAAACCAAGCAACAGAGAAGCCAACATTAGCCTTGAAGATTGTAACACATATTGCTGCATATGAAAATACCTGTTCGGCTTTGGGATCCTATGAGGCGGCCTTGGCGTCAAGTCTTTCCTACTCCCGTTCCAGTCCTAAACGGAGGCTGCCGCTCGTCATCAAAAAATAGTCTTTATCAAAAAACCGGGGTTGTCACAACGACTATTTTTTTAATAGGCTTTGGAAGCATAGGGTATATGTATATATATGCATTATCAGTCATACTTAATTCCCTCAAAAGCCCCTCCCAAAACAAAAGGCACATCGCTCAATGTGCAATTCTCACCTCCCGAGTGGATTGGTGAAACAAAGTCCAAGCTGTTATTTACTACCAAAATAGTATTCCCAAAAAGTATAAAGTGCAGAAACTCAAGAATTAAGAACTTGTGCAGCACCACATCAACAAGCTTGATGACGCAATGCGCGAAGCGCCGAGTTGCCAATGTGGACCGTGCACTTTCGAGGGCCTGGCGGTCAATCCCCGCTCGGATAGGGGTGCTACGACGACCCGATCGGGGTAGAAAGCTGGTGTTTGGTCCCTGGAAAAAAAAGAAGAAGAAAACACGTCTAGGGGTGCCTTCTGGATTTTGTCCATCAGTATGATTTCTTTAATATTAGGGCTGTGGTTGAAATGGAATCCACTTCTGTGATACAAGGGTCGCCCCAAGACTACCCCCCCAGTTAAAGAGTATCACAGAAGTGGTTGGATAACCCTCGGGTGATCAACCACAACCCAGCTTCCTTTCCAATAAACACGGGAGGAGCTTGAAACACCACGGCATTTCCAGGGGTCATTCTTTCCAGTCCCAGGGAAAACGGCGATCGGTCTTTGAAAGGAAGGATGGTTGAAACGAATGGTTGGAATCAACCACTAGAACAAGAGGATCCGAGATGCTTGAACGGCTGGAGCAATCCTGCCTTGGGCAAGATTGGCATTCCAAGAAAATCTGGAATCGCTAGTGTGACCGAGCGTTTTGCAATAGGGGAATCTAAAAAAACCTAGGGGCCACCCTCCGCACACGGGCTATAAGCAAATAGAATGCGTGTCTGCCTCGCATCCCGCTTGTGCCACTGCATTGGCAACCAACTCGTGGGGCTTCTTTTGTCGTGCTTTTGGGTCGTACCAACAATTTCAGGAATCCACTGGATGGCTTCATGGTACCCCTGAACACAGGCATCGGTGTGGCTAGCCAGGTCTTAAGTCGACATGCCGGCAAAAGCACCCAGCAAAGAGAGTCAAGATCCCCCTACCTTGAGGGGTGGGTGGGCAATTCCCTTTGTGAGGGGGGTGGGGAAGGGCGTCCCTGTTGCGGGGCTGCCTGTAGCAACATCACGCACAGCAAACAAGGCCCGTTAGAAAGAAAAACTAAGAAACTGACTGATGGCATTTACGTGATGGAATCCACACGTACCCGAAAAAACTTCTGCAAATTAAGATGACGCCTTTAAAAAGGGGCAGGAAGATATCCCTCCAATCGTGAAATTTTCGTTTGTGTGGGGTCGACCTGAATCTGAGTCGCTTGACATTCTCTAAAGAGGGCTTCCCCCGAGCAATGGCTCACCTTTTGCTTTGACTCATCCCGGACAACAGGGCAACCTGCAAACCGCGAAGCCACATTCGCCGAAGTTGGAACACGCCATAACCAGCACACCAAATCACCCGGCTTGCGGATTTGGGGAGAAAAGACTCGCCACCCTTTTCGGTGCAAAGTCGATGTTTACTTGGGCTGTCTGCTTTCAGATCCCCTGCAAAAAGTGGATGACTTGTGGGTTAAATGGAAACCCTCACCAAACCAACTAAAAGCCTAACAACCTAACGGGACGGCTGGGAACCGCCAAGTAAATTCGCTGTTTTCTTGAACTGGTCGTTATCCTGCCCTTCAAAAGAAGGGAAACACACTGGAGCAGGTTCACAGCCAGCCCGGCGGTTTATTTGGCAGGTCACCAACCAAACTTGGTAATTTGGGGTACACTCGAAAACACATTTGCTGGCTCTGTTCCGTAGATATTGTCATACATTCATGGACCCTTATTCAAAAAAAGGGGGGCATGGGGGCGGGATAGCCCCTTTGGAGGGATCCCACCAAACACCCAAGTGAGTCTCTTCGTTTTCTTTGTTTGAGGGACCCTTCTTTTTCGTTCCCTTTCAAGGGAAAGCCAAAAGGAGAACCACCATCTATCGGCAAATTTTGCAATATTTTGCAAAAACTGAGTAAGGGACCCCCAAGTAAAGGATCTATACCATAATGAGCTCGTGTTACCTCCAGGTGAGTTCGCCATTACAAACAAAAAGAGAACACACATATAATATATATATATATCTATATAAGAAAAGAAACAAACACATATTTATTGGAGGGGGGGTCCGGGGGGGTCGCCAAAACCGTTCGAAGCCCGAGCGAGCGATTTCCATTCGTGCGCCTGAACCTCCCGCAGGCGCGCGCTGCTGCGCTCCTCCCAGTTCTGCAAGAGCCAGGCCTGAGGCGCTAGAACCATGTGTGTGGCTCATCTCTTATCGAATTTGGTACTTGGATGTTCGGCCAAGTTAATTAGTGGGTAGCCATGTGGGTGTACAAACTTCTAATGACAAGGCTAAGCCTACTTAGAGGGACGTGTAAATGAGATATAACCTATGTAACAACTTATCAACTTGACCGAGCACCCAAGTACCCCCCCATGTTTTCCCCGTGGTAAAGGGAAACACCCATTTTTGAGGTCCCAGTTGCAGCGTGCTGCGTGACCCACCTTGAGTTTGACCCTTTTCAACTCCTGTTGAGGTTGACCCCGTGGAGACAAAGAGCTACCTCTCAGCCGATGCTTGTACGGGAAATCCCCACCACCAAAGCCTGGGCCAGCAGGGCCAGTCTCCGAACATGAGATCCCTCCCAGCATCCCAAGCGCTGCTTTTTGTTCCGTCCGAAATCTCACGTACTGTGCACAAAGCAGTGGCTGGGTGCTGGGAAGGATTTCGGTTTTCCTGTTGCCTTCTGAAAAAACTAAAACCAAAAGGACTTGGCTTTTTTACAGGAACACCCATCGCCGGCAAGCAAATGGCAACTGGGCCCCCAGCGCAGTCTGTGTCCAGGGCCAGCTTGTAGTCCTCGCGGGTCCGGATTTTTGATTTTTCTACGACGTAATTACCGCTTTGGGCTTCCTTTCGAAGAAAAAAAAAAGCTAAACAAAAAGGCATGCCTAGAGTCTCCTTCTGACCCCAAGAAAAAGCTTGGTCATAACCCCTTGATTTTGGGGTAATGACCAACCATTTTTCACAGGGTCAGAAGGAGACTCTGGGTGTCACTCTCTAAATTCGAGGACCCTCAAGCAGCGGATTGGATCGGTTGAAGCTTCGAATGTGCTCAATTTTCCAGTTGCTTACAAGAAACAGGGGCCCGAACAGAATTCCCAATGCTCCGCCACTCTCATGTTTTTCCTCTTCTTTTTTGACAACGAACAAAATTGCCGGTGTCCTTTAGTTGCCCTTGGGCTTCCTTCGAGAACCAGAGAAAATGTGGGAACGTGACGATGCCTTTATCAAGCTGACACCATGATAGACAACCCTTCGACATGTTCCTTTTGTTTCTTTTAAGGGGTGGTCCTTGGTTACCCACAAAACCAGGTAAGTGGATCCACCGGGGCGAAACAAGGGGGCCAGGCCAACACCACAAGCCAACTGCGGCAGGTGGGAAAAGCCCGCCGGGATCTCATTGACATGGGAGTTATCAAACTGGTGGTCCCTTTTTGCACAACCCACCTCCGCAGAGTTTTGTTCGCAAACTGATATCTGACATCATGCATGGTTGTTTTCTTCTGAGTTTGTCTATATAGAAACACATAATCACATCCATATCCATATGTGCATGCGAGTGAAACATAGGAAGCCCTTCAGCCGCGCCCGTTTTACACTCGGTGCCGACTTTTCGAGGGGATTGACTCCCTGAACTTGACCGTTTCTTGAACTGGGGGGGGGGTTTCACCCAGCAACAAATAGGACAGGCGTATTTTATTTGAGGCGACCTCTTCTTGGGGTAGTTGTTCAAGGACAATTTCAAAGGGACACAGCCCACTTTGAGGCCTTTAGGGACAAACCTGACGTACACACGTGTTGGCTGAAAGATGGCAGTCGCGATGACTGAATTTTTCCAGACCATGAAATAATTGCGGCATCTACTTCCCAACTGATTAAACAAAGCACATATTGCCATAATACTGTGGATGGACGAAATCCATTTCGCACCACTGTGAAACCATGGTAAACATTGTTTGTTGGTATTTACAGGGGAATCATCTTTCCAGGGTTCTTACATCATACTAATGGATTTCGTCCATCCACAGTATCATCCTCGGATTTCTCCCAAGGTGTCCAATACACCATTTCCGTATACGAAAAGAAGCTTTCACTAGCCCGTCTTTGGTGGCAAAGGGACACCAACAATTAAAGCCGTGGCGCCGCGCGCAGTTTTTGGGGGGATCCGAATCCCCCCAAAAAAGACAAAGGACAGACCCAGCATTTCCTCTGAGTTTCCTCCATTTCCCTCCAAACCGTGGCGCCATTTGGGTATGGGTAAAAATTAAACCACCAGGAGACCGCAGGTTTTAGTCGTGGGTTCCATTTACCGTTCCATTTTGGGGTTGCTCCATGTTTGACCACCACAGCCATTTGGGGGGCATCCGAATCCCAAAACACAAGGCACGCGTCACCCGTCATCAGTGGGCCTCGTTGGCCTGCAGCTCCTGATCAGCCGTCGCCTCGAGTCGAAACGCTCGCAAAAGATCGCAGACTTTTGCGAGCTGAATATGGGCCTTGAAGTCTTCCAAGGACCCGCAAAACCTGGGTCCTTATTCACATCTCTACTCTTGGTATGGTAGCAAAAAACTTTGTTTTTTGCAGACCCTCAGAAAAAAATGAACAGCACCAAAAAACTAAAAAAAACTAAAAACATGCCAAGAACAGTGAAGTTGATGTTGATCTTGGCTCATGGAAATTTGGTTCAAGGTTTGCTTTTCCGGGGTCCTGGAAGATCAAGGTGGGTATGCGTAAAACATGGTTGCACGCTCAGCAGGACCCGCGCAAAAACGCGCGTTTACCATTCACATCTGCTGAAGGAGCATGCCGCAAGGTGCCAAAAAGTTCGTTTGTATCTAACAGCAGCTTTCATGCATTGACATGCTGGCATCCGGCACTGCTTGTTTTATCTCTTTGCCACAGAGACCACATGTTTAATATGTCAGGCACACAAAGACCGTCTATACAAGAATTAGTATGCTCTCGTCCACAGGCGACTGTTGATCAGGCCGCTGGGACCGCGGCTCTTCATCTCACTGGGCATGATTTTTTTCAAGTGATGCCAGCAGCGATCAATCTGCTGCGTGCCCGCTCTGCGAGCCCGCAGATTCACACGTGTGACCTTGGTCCACTCACTCTTGTTGTGCACGACTTTGCGGAAGTGCAGCCTCTTGCGGGGCAGCGCCTTTCCCGCAGTCTTCCAAGAAGCACAGCCATCAGTGTACACGATGGCGCCCACGGCGAGCTGCCTCAGCAAGCCGCTGTCTTTGATCTCCTGCACACTCTCGCTGGGAGGCTTGGACGGCAACGGCACCAATGTAAGATGGGCAGGAGCAATTGCCATCTTCTGTGAGTTCCGTTGCGTCACCCCTAAGCAGCGCACGTAGAGCAAGAACCTGCGCGGCACCGCTCGTCCACTGTGAGCCCGCTTCCACAGAGCAACTTGATTGGCAAATGTCCTGGAAGAGGAAGAAATGCGCAAAGTCCGCAGGCACGTGCCATCTGCTTCGCACTGCCCTGTGAAGACAGCTTGGCCAGACAACGCTCTGCCCTGGGAGGCCTCATGATCCATGAGAGCATCCACCACAGGCTCCAAGGCCCTGCGTCCTGCTCCAGTCAAGCGGGCCAGCTGGAGCGGGCTTGGTGGCTTCTTGCAGCCGGTAGCACGGTAAGCCTTGACAGCCATAAGGACCTGCGTGGGTGTCAAACCCTGCATCTTGCGCTGCGGCAAAACATCTGAGCAGCTGAATACATTCGTGCGGGCACCGCAGTCGCTGTCCAGGCAGCGGTAATAGCACTGGGCAGTCTGCTTTGTTCTGACAGTTGGCTGACTGAGACGTCCATAGTTGCACTGCGGACACTTGTCAGGCTTGTTCATCAAAATGCCCAAGTCCTGAAGTTCTTGCACAGCAGCCAGCACACCCACATTGGCCATCTGAGTGCTGCTCTTCTTAGCTGCCTTTTGTCTCTTCAAGAAGTCCTTCCGAATCTTCCCTCGACCGCTGTACTCCTCGGCCCTTTGCTTCTTGTAGGCACCATATGTGGGGGCTCCTACAGGGCCAGATAGAATAAGAGGTGACACGGTTTCTTTCGGGCAACAAAGAAAATTCGCTGTACCTTTTTTTCAAAACCTCCCCAGTCCTAGGCGACGTGGCTTTCTGCCTTCCTGCGCCTGCTTCACCCGGAGGAGCTCGCGCATGCGCCGGTGCGTTTTCGCTCCTGGAATCGCACATGTCAAAACTGAGTGGCCTTTTCGGCCACAGAGCGAACAAGCCATGCTGGCCAATGGCTGCGGAGGAGATGTCACTGGTTTCAAGAAGCTAAGGTCTAAGCGGTCACTGACAGGTTTTACTCTGAGCAATCACCAGTTTGAGGCAGCCTGAGGGTGAGACAGCTGCCAACGAATGTCAGCTCTCAAAGTGCGAATTCTCTGCTGCAGTGCTCTGGGCAAAGTGCGCCACTGCGCCCGGAATGGCCGACTGTGCCAGCAGAGGCGTCGACCCTGGACGTCCTTCAGCCACCACTTGCTGCATCTCAGAATTGGCGTGGCCCAGGAAGCACCTGAAGCATGCACAACAGGCTGCATGCGGGCATGGCATCTCTCGCACACGCCATACTTATACACCCGCCGCCGCGGCGCAGGAAAAGAAACAGGAGTCTCAGCTGCATCGCGTGGCTCTTGCTGCGCAGGCTCCGGATCACGAATGGAATCTCTTTCCAAAGCTTCACGCAGGGCAGCAACACGAGCTGGCGACCACCTGAAGCCGTTTGCAAACAAGCGAAGAGCCCAGTTCGGGATATCCAGCGCAGTGGCGGCTTCTAGGCCTTGGCTAGATTCCAGCAGAGAAGTTTGCCACATGTGGTAGAACACATCCAACATCTGAATATCCACAGGGTCTACGTCCTCCACCGGCATATCAACATAGCTGCCCGGTGGAGGATCTGACACTCCTCGGCGCCATCTGCGCGGAGCCGCCACCACTGGGGTGGATTGCCCCACGGACTCCCGCTGCAATCGGAGGTGACGACGAAGAAGCCGCCCGTGCAAAACAGCAATGCCTGCCGCTACTGCTTCATGAGGCACAGGAGTGCGGCGCTGATGGCTCGCCCACGCGTCTCGAAGAGCCGGGGCAAACTTTTCCAAATTCTGCCAGCGAGTGTATCCCTCTATCATCTGCGGCATTGTTGCCTGTATGGCTGCCAGAACGTCATCATCCACACCAGGTGCAGAAACTATCTCGTGAAGGGAGTCCAAGCTATACATATCAACATGACGCCAGCCATCCAAACCAGGAGGCAACGACACCCGTGCCAGGCGTAGCAGAATAAGCAGTGCGACTGGCTCCAAGACCGACTCCATGGGTGCCCAACGAAGTGCGAAAGTAAGGACGTGCGTGTGTTGTTGTTGTTGACGTTGTTGTTGTTGTTGGATGGGATGTTTGTGTGTGTGTATTCATGCGGTTTGCTTTTGAAGTGCCCATCACTCCGCTTGCCACATGCCACATGCCCTGCTCCAGCCAAACTCGTGCCTGCGGGGGCTCAGTTCGCCCGCCTCTTCCCCCCCCGCCACACGCAGAAGACACCAAAGCCGCGCCTGCCGGGTCTGGCAACATGGTCATGGTCGCTGTCATCCCCCCCCCCTCAAAAAGAAACGCCTCCACATGGACATGGTCGCTGTCATCCCCCCCCCCCACCCTCCAAAAAGAAACGCCTCCACGGGTCCGGTGGGGCGTGTCACCTAAAACATCAACCACCAGAAAACCGCAGGTTTTAATCCTTGTTCTATTTTTTTTTTTTGACCAGGGCTTCAGTATTCCTATTTTTGACCCACGCCCATATTAAGGGATCCGGGACCCAATCAACCATTGAACTAGTCTTGCAATTCCATGAAACGGAACATGGCGTGCCAGAAATGGAGATCTCCAAAAGTCGAAATCCCCCCTCCCCCAACTCCATTTTGAAGGGGGTGACGATATTGAGGACCCTGATGGCTGGCTTCCAGATAACTAGCCACGTACCCAGTGCTTTCAGGCAAGCCACTACAGTGGGTAACCAGAAATCATCTAAAGAAAAACTCAAGGTAAGGATCCCTGGTTACCTACAAAATGAGTGGAAGCACTGGGGTAGGCAAGGAAAACCATCCGTGGTAAAACCTGGCGGTAAAAAATTAGGATACCTGAGAAGTGGCAACTGGACACACCGGGCCGGTGGCTTCCCTTACTCCCAACAAAGGTCAAAGTGACTTCCGCACCTCAGCCAACCAAAACCTGCGGATTTTCCGGACAGATTTCGAAGAACCGGGGAAAACCCGTGGCAAATCGAATGCGTGGACACTCCATTTATGCTGCGATGGGGAAAAAAACGGCACATTCTGCTTCTGGTTCGGTGTGGGGGGTTGGGGAGCATTCCCAACAGGCCTGGTACAAAGGGCGGGTGACAGACCTCAAAAAACAAGCAACGTACATGGTTACCCACTTCCGAGACTAACCATGGCTTTTCTGGGTTATAGCCAGGATTACTCACCACTTGCCTGACGTGCAACGCCCCTTTGAGTAATCTTGACTTAAGATCAACAGATGGCCCCAACATAAATGTGCCCTCTGGGCCAGCCAGACCCGTTCTTCACCCACTAAATTAAGCAGGGGCCAATTGCATACTGAGTAATTTCAGTGGATGGTTGCGAACTCCAGCTCGCACCACCTGACAAACCCTGGCTTCGAACAATTCCCCTGTAAATACCAACAAACATCATGGCTTGAACCATGGCTCAAAGTGCTGGGAACAGATTTTGACCACCCGCAGTATGATTCACCAACTCAAAGGCTGATCGACCCTTCGAATGGGAGGCTATGCTGGGACCCCGGAATCAGCCTTTTCCAGGTCCGAGCGGAACCCAATTTCATTCGAGACCATCCATTAAATCGCAACCCGACTGGAGAGGACACGTGCTTCTCAAAATCCGGGGCAGACCTCGGGGATTCGCATCCGTGATGCGTTTCGACCGGAGGGGGGACACCCACAAAACCCACTGGACTGCCCCCATTTTGGGGATTCAGGGAAAGCCGAGGAAGCAAGCTCTGCTTGAAGCCGCCTTGGCTTCAGTAAGGTCCATCCTTTGACCCAAGTTGCTGCAAAAAAAAAGAGACCCGCGGCTGAAGCAAGCCCGCTAAGTTTGTGCTTGATTGTTGGGTCAACTGCACCCGAAACCGCCACAATCCAAGCCCGGTATTCAAATGGTAAACCCAGAACCATGCTTCAAGAGTTTCCGCTGCTATTTTTCTGGCGAGGGGATTCACCTTCACCAATCCCCGGGGTTTGGTTGTGGCTCAGTTGTCCTCTGGTTGTCCTTTAGGGACCTGGGAAATAGAAGGTGATCACCTTGTGGCCATGTGCAAAGATGGACCAAGGAAAAACCAAAGGTTAAAGGGCCATCGGGTTAGCTTGTAGTATCAGACAACATTGAGACATTGGCTTTTTGGCAAACACTGCGATTCGGCAATGAGAAGGAACCAAGCAGTGCTGCATGAAAAAAAGCAGACTACACAGCTTTTCTGTGGGGTCCAGATTGATGTCAAACGGTTTTGTGTCAACACTTACCCCTTAAAACTCCAAGCCCTGGGGAAGTTAATCCTTTACGGACATATAGCCAAACGGTTACCTTCAAAAAGTTGAAAAGTGGTGTTTTTAAGCGGTAAGAACACCTCCAGGCTCACGATCTCCGGGGCTGCCAACACGGAGCTCCTTGAAGTTCTGCAGCTCCGCTTTGGCCGAGGCCTCCGCTGAAGCGCGCGCGCTGAAGGCTTGGCGTTTTGGGGGTCAGCGTCTCCACGGTAAGCGTGGCTTACCGGCGGAATCCACGAGGTAAACCAGGATCGCCCTCGTATTTTTGAAGCAGAACCGTTTTCCCAACAAGGACAGCTATGGCTATGGACTTCAACCTTTCTGATGACACTGGAGTCTCAGCCTAATTGGTTGCTTAGCCTTCTGGTTCCATGGCCCTCCACAAAATGTTTCGGTCGCCACACAGATGAAAGGGGACGGTCATGACAAAGTTTTCAGAGGGTCGGGGAGGCTCTAGGTCCATTTTGCGTGGCACAAGAAGGGCGGCCATGTTTCTACCAGGGTCCCGGTTCATGGAATCCACTGAACTGACGGTGGCTTACTTTTCCTGGGAAAAAGAAACAAACTCGGACCAAAGGCCGATCAAAGCGGCGTGTTATGCATCTGACTTCTTAACATGGCAAACAAAGTGTTTCTTCAAAGCACCAAACAAGCCATCAAAAAGGGGGTGGCTCCTACGTTAGGACCTGCCAAGCACGCCATCAATGAACCACAAAAGTTGGCTGAGTCCGGCGGGCGGGGTGAATCTGCTTGCAGCACATTTCAAGCGGCAACTTTGCCGTGAAATGATTGCATACTGGGGAGCCCTGTTATTCATCAAGGTTCCAGGTCCCCCTGGACGAAAGGATTCCCCAGTAAACTGGGCTCAAATCCCCCGCTAACAGTTCACTTTGATTGGGTTGCATGGAAACCACCACTAAACACTAAAAGGCCAAAAAAGCGAAGGAACCGGATGGCTGGGAGCCACCAAGTAAAAAGGGACCCCCTTAACAGGTGGGGGGGGGGTATTCCTCAGGAGTCAGCATCCCAAGCCCCGGTCCATGGCTGCGGCCTCCACGCTACGCTTGGCCACCATCGCGTTCATCTCGGTGGAGCGCTTCCTCGCGCAGTCCTCCAGACCCGATCGCCGCGGCTCAAGCGCGCGGCAAAGGCGCGTTTCCGGATGCGTCCAAAGGAGCCGGTTATAGGCCAAGCACTTGATTGAAGTGCTCCACCCACGTGGTATCTACTCGGTTGCTTTCTGCTCCCCTGCCAAAAGTTTGACTTTTCGTGGTTTAATGGAACATCCATTAGTTGGCACAAAGTTCAAGTCCTAACATCCAAGCAAAGTGCACCAAAGTTTATGTAGGCCATGGTCGTGCTTCCCTTAAAAACCTTTACATCGGTTGACCCTAGCGACCCCAAGCCAAAGGGGTGCTTCGACCATGGCACAGGCGTAAACTTATCTCCTCCCCCCCCGCACGCAGGGTTGGGCCGGCTAAGTGTTTAAACGGCTTAAACGCATGGCGTGGGGGCCCCACGCCATGCCACGGACACTTGCACACTCTTGTGCAGACCAAACCTAAACCCCAATACCCTAAAGAAGATTGCAACACGCGGTGACATAGACTCTAAGTATCCACTGTCCGCCCCTCCTCCGCCCTACACACCGAAAATGACAACCTACAGCCTTGCTTTCTACAACCACGCACCCCCACCCTGCCCCTCCCCCCCGCCCCCACTCTACCGCCCCCACCCCCACTCACCACTCTCCCCCCCCCCGCCACTCCCTTGCCTGGAGGAAGGAATCATGCTCCTTCTGCGCTTTGGATTCCTCCGCCATGGCGCTTTGCCGCTGATGGCGGACGTCTGAGATCAAACGGTCCAGCAGAGACAGGACCTCGGAGAGACAACTAAGGGCCAAAGTAAATGGGCTGGGATTGTGTGGGGTACTTGAAAGCCACACAAAGGCCTGGTGTTGGGGGAAGGGTAATCTTTTCTGTGATACCAACGTGGTTGACGCTCACCATGACTATAACTCCCTTGAAAGTGGCAAACTCGAGCCGGGTGTTCCACATTTATGACCTGGACAAACAGCATGAGACAGCGATTCAGCGGAAAATGGGAAAGCTGGGCAAAGAGGGTTGAAGGTTGAAGTCCAACGACAGGCTGTTGTCAACTTCGGATCCAAGACTACCATGATCAAGGTCCCTTGAATGGAATCCGCATGGCTGTCTGCCCTCTCCCATTGAAGCATCCCTTGCCCAGACCCTTCTCCGACATTCAGGGGACGCTTTCCTTCTGTAGATTCCTCTGAAATGAATGTGGCGAGTACCAATCAACCGTGTCTTTTTGCCAAGTCAAGTGGCAACGGTGTTATTTTTCAGGGGATTCGCAAAATTGTGGTTTAATCTATATAGCTTTCCTTGAAAACCACAAACCAGATGCGCCGAGGGAAAAAACAAAAAACAAAAAACGCCAAATAAGTAGACCAACCGCCAATCCCAGCCCAACCGCCCACCCTTGCACCCAACTCATGCTCCTCGCTTCATGTGTCAGGGCTGCCCGTCCAAAAAAAGAAAGGCCCCTAAAAAAAAATGCAAGAAACTTACCCCTGAAAACTCCAAGCCCTGAAAAAGTTAATCTTTTACAGACATATAGCCCATGTTACACAAACAGTTGAACAGTTTTGTTTTTAAGAGGTAAGGAAAGGATCACCCACGTTTGCCGCATCGCTCTTCTCAAGTCTTGGGTGAGCTTTCATGCACCTAAGCACAGGCGATCTGTTGCTGGAAAGCCAAGAGGAGTTTTCTTCCCGTTCGACCCGAGCGATTTGCGCAGGGGTGGTGAAGAAGTATCCAGGTTGACTCGGAGAACCGAGGAACCCAACCCCAACTCTGCCAACTTGAGGTGTCGTCGTTCAAAGGTGCGGAGCAACCACAAAAGAAAGGCAGGAACGTGGCCCCATTTCACCGAAAGGGCACAGGAGCTTTCCAACGGGAAAACTGCCGCCGTTGCAACCCTTTAAGGTAAACCTCCATAAACCATCCCAACCCAAGCAAAGAACCAACCCTAAACCAAAGAACAACAAACCCCCAACAAACCCAAGGAAACAACCAACCCTGAACCAACCCAAACCCAAGCCACGACCTACATCTCAGTTGTTCAGTGACCCTGGGAAAAAAAGGGGACCCTTTTTTGGGAAGACCATTTTAGTGGGGCAGCTAAAAAAAAAAAACGGAAAAAGGGAGCCACTGAACCACTGAGACATGCTCGAACCTGCGAGCTGCTCTGTTGGCGGTCGGTTCCGCCAAGCTGGCGCCGAACTCCGCCGACGGCAGCTTGCGGAGTCGAGAGGCAACCTCGACACGGGGTGACTCCCACGGGAATACCCTGGTTGGTTTTAAGAGGAAAATAGAAAGGACCACCATTTTGGGGGGGTCCAAGAAAGAAAGACACACCCAAATAAATCAAGATTCAAAAAAACAGCTTGAGGGTTCTCCATTTTACGACCTAATAATTTGAGGGTTGCCTCATGTCCGTTTATCGAGGGTTCGCATCCCCCCGCCTGATCCAGAAAGGATGCGCCATCCCCACGGTATACCCGGCTCAGCCTCGTCTTCGCCTTTTGCAGAATCTCCTGCGGATGCAGAGGTTTTACTGTGTTGAGGTTCTTCATGCAAAGGTTTTGAGGCACTTGTTGTGCCTAGTGTTCATTCCTGGAGTCTCCGTGACCCTTTTAAAATGGGGTAATGACCCCAGTATTTTGGGTAACCCCATTTTTAAGGGGTCATGGAGACAGGTCTCTTCGTACTTTGTTCTGTACCCCTTTCGACATGCACAAGGCGTGGAGTGTGGTCCAATGAACCCCGGATAGTGGGATCGAGTTGGACACCGCCCATATTTGCACGCGGAAAGACTCACGAGCTCAACTTTCCAAAGGACATTTTGGGGGTACAGACTTGGCAACACAACCCACTTTCCAACGGTACGTTAGTGCAGGCTTGGTCAACCTTCAGCCATGCAGCGATTCAATCCATGTGCCATATAACATCATGGCATGGCTCCAAACATAGAGGGACCCATTTAATGGTGGGTTTTCGCTTTCGGCTTCCTTTCAAAGGCTTCCACCAAGCTGAACCTGGGTACAGGGCGATGTCTCAACTGGGACCCTTCTTCTCCTGCTTCTCACCTTTGCCCTAAGCGACTGTTTTCCACTCATGGCCGCCTCGAGGAGGATCCTGCATGTGGGATCCAAAAAGAGGTCGCGCGCCGCAACCATGGGGTGTTCTAAAAATGCAGCCAGGGGAATCGCCTGATTCACACAGTTGGCAGCCAGGGAATCTAAGTAACCCAGTTGGAAGCTGGTTTACCCCAGAATTTATGGGGTATCCATCCCAACTGGTGCACGATCTTCCCACTGGAGGCCTCTCAGCCTCAGCCCCGTCCCCTTTCCGGGTCCCCGTCCTCCGTCTCCGAGGCGTCTGCCTCCTCGTTCGCCAGCGTGAGGCGCTCGGCTTTCCGCAATCCCTTGGCCTCCGCGACGGAGGCATCCAGGTCCTGTGGCACATCTGGCCCAAGGAGAACCACCGCTTGGGTGCGTCTTTTTTACAGAGGGGCAAAAACAAAAACCACCAAAGACCGCATCGAGTAAAGGTGCATGCATCTACGCCAAGGTGCAAAAACGGCTGAGTTCAAAAACAGGCCCCATGGCGGGCCGCTCTCCTTTCTCAAGGGTTTTAAAGGGAAAGTACATGGACAACCGAAGCCGTTTTGGGGGTCCCCCCCAAAAAAAACCACCCATTTATGGGATAGACGAAAATCCATTTCGCACCACAAAATGAAACCATGGGAAACCATAACATTTGTTGGTACTTACAGGGGGAATCGAATCATTCCAGAGCTTCTTAGGTGGTGCGAAATGGATTTCGGCCACCCACAGTATTAGCCCCAAAAAAGGCCCTTGACAACCAAATCGGACCTTCTGTGACACCAATATGGGTCATTCCCATAGCGAACACTTTAAATGGGGATCCCCTTGGTATCACAGAAAGTGGCCCTAAAACCAAATTATTGTTGGAGGTTTGAGGGAAAACTCCCAAACATCAGGGGGTCACACCAACGACCAACTATGCAAACACAATGCGTTTTTTCGGGTTGTCCCTCCATGTCCCCCGCGGATCAAGGGGAAACTACCAAGCATCGGTGTTGAACCTTGCCAAATCACCAACTGGTAACCCGGGTGGGGCACAGGTTGTAACCACCGACCCCGATTCGGTCCCGAATCAATACGGGAAAACCGAAAGAAGGTTGAACAAAGTCAGAGTGTCGCCCGCGGCAGAAGGGGTACACCAAACTCATATTTCGGAATATGCTTCATATTGAGCCAACCCCAAAAAAATCAAAGAGTTTTTGAAGGAGACCTGGAGTAAGTATTGGCAGTAACCTCCGAACCTGGAGTATTCCAGCATTGCTTGTAAGGAGGGTGAGGGTCCGGGACCCAATTCCATTTATCTCGTCTTCTCCATGAAGCGGAGCTTTGAACCACAAATGGAGATCGCCAGGGGTCGGATTTACCCCCCTCCCAGATCCCCCGCTAAAAGTGAATAACTGTTCGTGCACTAAAAAGCTAAAAGGCTAAAAGGCTAAGGAACCGGATGGCTGGGAGCTCGGTCAGATTCTCTCCAGCGCTCCTGGATGCCCTGCTTGATCTGCTGGAGGTCATCCTGGATGAGCTTTAGGCTCTCGCGCGCCTCTCCTGAGCGATCAGCGACCTGTGAGTCTTTGGGCTTCCAGCTACCAAAAGGCGAATGACCATTTAAACTGTGGGGCCCTTCTTTTCACCCTCCAAACCTCATTTGTCAACCCTTCCCTTTTTGTTCGCCCTGAGAGCCTGATAGGAGGCCAACAACCGGGGAGACCACAGAATCGCACCCTCTCGAGGTCTGTGCCATTGACCGACACAAAGTAATCTTAACTGGTGGCTTGGATTGGTATTGGAGGTGTTGTGGGGTGGTTTCCCATTAACCCACAAGAACCAGGGCCTCGAATCCAAGCCCCATCCGAACCACTTAAGGGAAACCTGAAGCACAGAATAAACCCTACAGGAACCTGCTTGGCGCTCTTTCCGCCCGCCGCGATTCAACTTGCCCAAGACTTGGAGCATAGCGTGTTGACCCCGCAACTAGCAACCTGTCCTAGTGCCGACTATATATTGATCAACGAGGAGGGATGTATGTGTCTTAGGGTGAATTATAGACGAATGAGTCTATGAGGACCTCGCGTGAAGGCTCACAGGCATCTCATCGCGTGCTGTCTCTAATTCACCGATTGAAGTATCAAAGGATGATGTAAAAACAAAAAACTCATCGGTCAAATCCGTCAACCGAACTCCTTGTGAGGCAGCTACGCTTCCCCGATTTGCCCAGATCGCTCAACCTGGATTCCCAAGGAGCCCCACTCAACGGGGACACCAAAAAGGTCCACCCCTACTAATCAACTAGGGGGTCTACTTAGAGCCCATGACTGGTAACCCCAAGATACGCCTTCAGGGTTCCCGGTACCCTCCGCAATGCACCATAAAGTAAGGATGGCCATGTTCGGGCCTGACTGCTTCCTTTCAAACACAAGCGAGGAGTCGGCCCAGCCAAGCCACCGTGCTGTGTATATATATATATATATGTATTGTATACATATTCATTTATTCATATGTATTCATTATGTATTTATTGATTTAGTCATTCATTTATTTATCTCACTGGCTGAGTGGACGGCCCAACAATTCCCAAACTGTATATTTACCACTAAAATGGTATTCCCAAAAAGTTTAAAGTTCATGAACTCAGGAAGTGAGTTCTTAATTCATTTGTTTATGTATATATATATATATGATATGCATGTGTGTCAGCTCCCTTTCAAAGCACCACAGAAGCTCTTGGCCAATGTGAGGGCTGAAGGTTTTGAGTCGAACAGTCAATTGAAATTCCCTGACGAACGTCTCTGACCAGCAACACGGGTGTTCGTGTTTCTGGACACCGCAAAAAAATGTGGTTTGCTAAGGTGTCCTCACTTCCTCAGTGGATTGGCCAGAAAACGTCCAAACTCTTGATTTGCTGCTTGAATGCTCAGCTCAAGTGTAAACGCCCAGGAACTCAGGAAGTGAGTCTCCCTTTGAAGCCATCCAACAATTGGGCTGCCCTCAGATCCCCTTCTAAAAGGTTGACTTTTACTGGGACAAACGGAAACTACAAAACCAACTACCCTCCCACCAACTATCAAAAAGGCCAACTAACCAAGAGGCAGGTCGTCTTGCTAAAGGGGGCCTGTGCACAAACCCATGGAATCGCTCGTGAGGGTAACCACATCTAAAGGCCTAAGGAACCGGGCTGCCCGTTTTCAGATCCGCTAAAAGCTTGGAACTGTTAGTGGGATGAGTGGGAAACTATCACCAAACCACCCACCAAACCACCTAAAAACCTTTAAACAAAGACCTAAGGAACCAGATGGCTGGGTTTCCGGATGTTGAGACCCGGGCTTCAACAGCACCGGCTTCGAACCGCGAACCCGCCGAAGCTCCCATCGCAGCCGCGGCCTCTTGCTCCTATGCGTTTGAATGGGGCTGTGGTTGAAATGGAATCCCTAGAGTCTTCTTCTGACCCTTAAAAAATGGGGTCATTACCCAAAATTTAGGGGTTATGACCCCTTTTTCTAGCGGTCATGGAGACTCCAGGTCCAGTTCTGTGATGCTGGGGCCGTGGTTGAAATGGAATCCGCTTCTGTGATGCGGGTATGGTCAAGATTAAACCACCAGGATATGGACCGCAGGTTTTAGTCCATGTTTCCATTTTGTAGGGTTCGCTTTTGGGTATTTTTGACCCACTGCCATGTGTGTGTGAACGGGGGAACCCAAAAAGGGAGGGTGTCAGGTGTCCCTTCTGATTTTTCCGTACACGCCAAGCTGAGTAGGGTACATACCCTCAAAAACACAACCCCACAAACACTCCTTGTCGTCGGAAACAAAACACGATTGGCTTACCCAACCCGCACGTCCAAACTGCAAAACAACCTTCGGATTTGCACATGGTGTTTCACCTTGCGTGTGTTCTTGGACTTCTACAGGCAACAAGGGACTGGCTGAGTGACTCAAACTCCGGCATGTCCTTTCTTTCTGATGTGCCGACTCATTATGCCTCATTTGATGAGGTAGTGAGGCTTTTCCAGCGCAGGCATTAAAATTCCAAAGTGAAAGCCTTCAACGAAGGGGAGGGCGAACAAGCAACCATGGTGGTGGCCAGTTGGACCTCAGCGACTCCAAAGCAGGCTATTCTGATGACTTGGACGAAATGATTGACCTGCTGAGTTGACTTGCCTTTGAAAGAAACAACAAGTAGCTAGACCTCTTAGCCATTGAAATTATGAAGAACTCCACCAACAAAACGAATACAAATAGTGCGCTAACTCACGGGGAAGGTAAATTTCTGGGGCTTCAACGAAACCACTGAATTTGGGCATTAGGCCTCATTTGCTACAAAAGAGTTCCCCAGTTTCCCTTCCAACACCCCATCACCAGAAGCTCACCCTAAATCGGGCCAACCCTAAAACGGATCCGCTGCCAAACAAAAAGCAAGCCCAATTAGGGCACAGCCTCGCTTCCCACGGAAACGGGTGGTTCCGTTCCATATAAAATCAGCCAAAAGAAAGGGTACCCTCAAACAAGACATGCGCATACACTGGGTCCCTTTAAGTCCACATTTCGTGGGGTTGGCTTCCCTTGCAACATAATGCCGAGGATGTGACTTTCAGGTTACCCATCCCCGTTGGATTGCCTTGAATTCAAGCCTAGACATATCCCCAACAGCAACACCTGGAACCCCTCCAGCTTCCAGCTGTTCGGGATTTAAAGATGTTACTGTGGATGGTTGCAAAATCCATTTCGCAGCACGATATGAAATCATAACATGTGTTGGTATTTGAAGGGGAATCATCAGAGCCAGGGTTTCTTAGATGATTCAGGATTTCGTCCATTCACAGTAGGCTAATGTTGACCCGTAATTAATATACCCATCCTATTCTTATGACCTGATCCCGCCCACTGAAACCACAGATCCAGAAGTTTGAACAACACACACACAAAACAAAAACAACCTGGAAAATTCCCAATCCGGGAAGGCTCAGGAAAAAAACTCAGAACAAACTCAGAAAGAAAAAAACTTTGCTTGGAACTCGAACGCCCCCGCTTGAGCTTGAAGCTGAGTCTGGAGCTCGTTCGTGTGTCTTGAGGTGTTTCCGAGTTGTTTCTGGGCTGCCCGTTTTCTGATCCCCTGCTGAAAGTGGCTAACTTCTAGTGGGTTAAATGGCAACTGCCACTAAACCAACTAACAGCTAAAAGGCTAAGGAGCCGGACGGCTGGGGGCCACCAAGGCTTTTGAGTCTTTTCTGAGTTGTGTCTCTTCTTTTGAGTTCTCTCTCAGTTTTGCGGAAGGGAGTTGGTTGCGGAGGAAATCTGCAGTTTGCCCCAAGCAAACACAAAACAACTTCAACAACTACTCAAGGACACTCAGAGAAAACAAGCTCAGAAAAGAAACTGGACCACGGTTGGCCCGAAAGCATCACAGCCCCGTGACCATTCTGCGCAAGTTGCTCTGGGCAAGGTGCTTTGCGCAAACTGGTCTGTGCAAGTTGCTCTGCGCAAGTTGCTCTGCGCAAGTTGCTCTGTGCAAGTTGCTCTGTGCAAGTTGCTCCGTGCTTGCTCTGCGCAAGTTGCTTTGTGAAAGCTGCGCTGTGCAAGAAGCTCTGTGCAACTGACTCTGTGCAAATGTCTCTGTACAAGTTGCTCTGTGCAAGTTGTTCTGTGCAAGTTGCTCTGCGCAAGTTGCTCTGCGCAAGTTGCTCTGCGCAAGTTGCTCTGTCAAAGTTGCTCTGCTCAAATGTCTCTGTACAAGTTGCTCTGTGCAAGTTGTTCTGTGCAAGTTGCTCTGAGCAAGTTGCTCTGTGCAAGCTGCTCTGTGCAAGTTGCTCTGTGCAAGTTGCTCTGCGCAAGTTGCTCTGCGCAAGTTGCTCTATGCAAGTTGCTCTGCGCAAACTGGTCTGTGCAAGTTGCTCTGCGCAAGTTGCTCTTCGCAAAATGGTCTGTGCAACTTGCTCTGCGCAAGTTGCTCTGCGCAAGTTGCTCTATGCAAGTTGCTCCGTGCAGCTTGCGAAGCCCGCCCGCGGGCCAGGGGGGAATCGAACCCACGACCCGCCGGTCCCGGGAGCAGGCGCGCGAACCACGAGACAACTCCCGAGGACCAGTTCGAACAACAAAAGTAGCAAAAAAACTTCGAGTTTTTGCACCTCGACCACGCCGATCCCCGCAGAGGGTCGCGCGAGCCAAAACAAAATCGTAAAAAAACCTCGAGTTTTTGAGAGGGTCGCGAGGGCCAAGACAAAATCGCGAAAAACCTCGAGTTTTTGCACCTCGACCACGCCAATCCCCGCAGAGGGTCGATTTTCGTAGTGTCGTCGGCACTGCCCCGCCGCCCTAAGAAGAGATTTTAACTCCTCGCAAGTCAATTGCACTTGACTCCTTGCACTTGCAACTTGCACTTGACTCCTTGCACTTGCAACTTGCACTTGACTCCTTGCACTTGCAACTTGCACTTGACTCCATGCACTTGGCTCCTTGCAACTTGCCTCCTTGCAATGACTCCTTGCAATGACCTTCATGATGATGATTCCTTGCAATGACTTTCATGATGATGATTCCTTGCAATGACTCCTTGCAATGCCTCTCATGAGAACAACTCAAGTGAACCCAGCGGAAGAACCCTTCGCCATGCTTTCGGGAAAACAACTCAGCTCCAGACTCAGCCTCAAACTCAAGTGGAGGGATCGAGTTCAAACCTGAGTTTTTCTAGGTTGAAGGCTGTTTTTGCTGCTGTGTTTCGTTTGAGTCGTCCCTTGTGTTGTTCTGTTTTGCTTTTTTTGGCGTTTGTTCTGAGTCTGTGTCTTCAGTTGAGTTCTTTGGCTGGACATATTTTGATTCTGAGTTGTTCTGAAATCCCTCCTGTCTGAGCTCATCTGCCCCCACCTCTCAAAATCAATTTGAGTTATAGGGGGTGTCCAGTTGAGGAAGTCCGGATCACCTTGGTGGGTGACCCCCCTTTCTGTCCGCTGGACTCTTCGATCGAGTCCCAGTTAGCACCATAGCGGAACATCCTCCAAACAATTGCCCAGAGGTGTCTTCACCCCTCCATTTGTAGTTCCTCCATTTGGTAGTTTTCTTTCTTTACCCAGTGAACCCTCCTCCAACCAAACAAAATGGATCGAACACATGCACCACTGGGTGCCAAAAATCGGCTCTCGCGTCGTCGCGCCGCCCGCGACTCGCGTGACCGGTCCTTGTTCTGCAGCGTCCTCTTCTTGCTCGCGCTGGAACTGTATCTCGCCTGGCAGTACCTTGCGGTTGGTTGATTGACCCGCTACCCGAAGTGGGGTCCATTTTTTTGACCCAAACGCGCGGCAGTTCCATTTTGAAGGGAACCCTCTCCAGAAACAAAGGACAAAAGCCACCACTGACGCGGGGCCAAAAAAAAGTGGCTTTTGGATTGGAAGGGAACCACTCTCCAAAGACATATGAATATATACATATATATGGTCCCGTCCTCCGCCCTCCTACCCCCCCCCCCCAATGGTATCCCCCCCCCCGCCGCCAGAGCCCCCGCACCCTCTGCGTACTTTTGGGTGGGTCGACCCCCTGGACCGCTGTGTCGCTTCGGGCTCGCTCTGCACTTTTTGGGTATGTCCGTTCCCTGCCACCCGCTCACACATTTTTTAATGCGTGCTTATTCTGTTTGTCTTTAGTCAGAGAGCTAGCTTTGAATTAGTGTCCATACCACAGCAGTTCCTTCCAAATTTCCTTTCATCAGCAAGCACGCCAACTAAGACCCACCCAAAACAATCTTCCAGATGTCCCAAGCCACCCCTAAGCCGACCGTAGACCAACCCTAAACAATCCTGAGATCAACCCTAACACCACCCGCAACCCCACCCTAAATGAACTCCAACCAGCCCACCCACCATGCCACAGGGGGAGCTGGAGGGATTGGGGGGGTTGGGGGGGCTGGACCATATATATATATATATATGCATGTATGTATATTGGACATCTATATATATATATATACATATATATATATATACATACATATGTTGATATATATGTATATATATATATATGTACATATTGGAAAAAAGAAAAAACGGAAGCCGGACCCGTAGGTTGAAGCACTCCGCTCCGAAGGCGCGAATCTAAGCGCGTCTGAGCGCGTCTGAGCGACGGGCTGTTTCTTCTCCGCCTCCGACTGTGCCTCCGATCGCAGGTTGGTCAGCAGGCGTGTGATCATCTGCGCCACCTGAGAAAAACAACCGGCTAAAATACTCGGGAGGTTGAGTCTCGAGTACGGCGGGGTCCAAAAAGGCGGAAAGGCTTCGATGGCTTTTTTGGGCCCCAGTCCGGAAACTCGGAATTTCTGGTTTGGATTGGTGGCTTGGGGATTTGAATTCCTGGGTTCTCGTGGTTGGTAAATTACCCACCCCCTAACCTCCAAACCACTAATCCAGACCACCAATTTGTTTTGTTCTCACAGGCTTGCATTTCGGCCCTAGCCAGGACTGTGGCTGCTTGTCAGCGATGAGTGCCATCCCCCTTTTACGAAGCCTGTAGATGGGTATACCAACTCCCAACCAAGACCACCACCTCTGAACCCCAAAATTTACCCCAAGCTCCCAACAACTCAACAACAACTCCCAACAACCCCAACTCCCAACAACTCCCAACCACCACCTCCAAAACCCAAAAATCACCCCAAGACCCCATCCCGATCAACTCAAGTCCCTGAAAACTGAAAAAGAGCACCTACAAAAAAGTCCGCCATGTGTTTGGACTTGAAGCAAGGGACATACATCCTGCGTTCTCGCTCGTAGCCCCGGATCGGGATCCCCGAACCTCTTTTGCAGGCCTATCCCCACGAACTCATTGAGAACATCTGGGGCAAAGAACTGTGAGGACATGGTTAAACGTGGCCATTTAGGTCTGGGTGGATTATTCCCCATTCAAAACGTGGTTCATCCAGACCCGGACCGTGGCCATGGGAGACACGTGGACCGTGGCAATTTCTGTCGGCGACCTGCGCTTCCGATCCCCTGCCTCCTCCAGGCCAACCTTCTGACCCCTGAGCGCCAGGAGGACGAACTGCGCCTGGGATGGCACGTCTTCGGTGGTGCTTTTGCACCGGTTTTCAGGGGCTCGCTTCCCGATCGAGTGGAGTCGCCAGAAAAAAGAAAGAAAGGAAGAAGAAACAAAAAACAAAAAACAAAAAGAAAACGGAAGAAAAGAAGAAGAAAAAAAGAAGAAACAAAATCATGTCTTGTTGCCACAAGGATGGTCTTCCCCCCAAAATAAAGCCCGGGAACTTGGGGAGTCAGGGCCACGGTGCGAGTCAACCCATTGCAACATCTTTGGAGACCTACTGTAACTCAATTTCGCACCCTGTCTGTGGGTTATCCCAATAGGGCTTCATCCATACAGACTGGTGCAGGATTTTGTCCATCCACAACAGTGCTGAAGCCATTTTCTGGGTTTCCCAGAAAAGCGGCCAAAGCAAACGAAACGCTTTTAAGCAGGCAACCAAAAGGCGATCTTTAGAACCGCCATGGAATTTCAGATTCTCAGTGGCCATGGCCACTACTTGGTTGCTGTTGACTCCTCTGCAAAAAGTGCTGGGTTCAATGGAAAACCCTTGATGTCCCAAAACGTTAAACTCTAAAAATCCAACCCAATAGCAATCAAGAAGAAGGGCACTGGGTGAATTATCATATTTCACCGACCTGAAATAAGGTTATTGGGTGAATATTCCCCACATAAACCACCATTTGGGGTGAATTCGGTCGTGTGAGGTCGTTCACCTAGACTGCCCGTCCTCAAAAAAGCAAAACGCCACTGGAGGCCCAGACCGCCGCACGTGCCTTCAGGTTGCGGAATCCTCCCACCCCTACTGGGTGTGTCTCCGGCCAAACGGGGGGCTCCCCGAAAAAGGATATACCCTTACGGAAAGCAAAAAAAGAAAGAAACAAAAAACGACAAACGCAACAACCTCAGCCACTTGACGATTTTTCCCAAGCAAACTGAAGCAGTGCCAGCGAAACTGGCCTACAAGAACACTAGCGGATGTAGCAAAGGAGGATGTAGTTGGTTGCGTCTGCAGGGCGGCTTGCGTTGTTGGCTTGCGACACTTCGAGGACACCTCACCGGAGGCTGAACAAATACCAATGGACAAACAGTTGCATGGTGGCTAAGAGTTGCATGGATGACAAAGCAATCGAGAAACACACAAACGCACAACCAATCAAAGCAGCGAGCAAGCAACCAAAACTACAAGCAAGCAAACAACCAAAACAAACAACATCAATATAAATATAAACATATTGAAGACAAAAGCGTACAAACAACCAAACAACGCACAAACTGCAAGAACACACGGGCGAACGAGTGAACAAACAATCAACTACAAACACAAAAAACCAACTCAACAAAGCAAACAACGCAAGCAAGCAAGCAAGCAGGCAGGCAAGCAAGCAAGCAAGCAAGCAAGCAAGCAAGCAAGCAAGCAAGCAAGCAAGCAAGCAAGCAAGCAAGCAAGCAAGCAAGCAAACAAACAAACACACAAACAAACAAGCAAACAACGCCAAAGTGCATGTTCGCTCAACATATGCGTTTGCATGCAATCCTTACACAAAAGAGCACAGGGGGGTCTTGGTCGATATATGAATTGCCCAAACACACGCACGGAACATACAAAGTAGCAACACGCAACGAACAACGACATGAGTATGAGCCCCCCCCCCCAAAAAATAACAACATAAATCAGATATGAATGAGCGGTGTGAAAACTCCTTGACTTTTGGATTGCATAAGACTCACTACGAGCTCTAATGAAACCAGCTAGTCGAACCGCCTACCCTTTGTCCAATCATGGAATGGACAGGGTGGTTCCCCAAACGGACTGTCTTCCAAAACCCTCCTATCTTCCATGATTGTTGGAGGGAGGGTAAAATGGCCAACTTCGGAATCCGCCCCTCCTTCCGAATGAACAAACAACCCAATGCCATCCAGGTGCGGAGGTCGATTTGATCGCGGTAAGCTTGTCCATGGCATAGCTCCTCAGGCGGTGGAAAAACAACTTCTTCTTCCGCTCGCATCAGTGCTGTGCCCGGCATCATGAACAGAGTGTCTGCTTTGCTTGAGATGATTTCCACCCCCAAACCACTACCCCCAAAGGAGAACGGGAATTACCACGTTAGTTGTGGCTGTGTATCCCATGAACCCCTGCGAGTACTGGATTGAAAGGCAGCGGAAGGTCGCCTAGATTTTAGGGCATGCCTTGTTGTAAGGATTCTTTGGACTATACCTCGTGTGGCACGCTGAGAAGGCCTGGAATGATGACTCCCCTGTAAATAATAACAAGGAATGGTTTCCAATGGTTTCAAAGTGGTGCAGGATTTCGTGCATCCACAGTATGGGCCCACTTTCTGCAACAGCGGCGCCCACGCAGGAGCCCGTCTCAAGGAGACCATCCTTGGTGGTTGTTTGAAAGGAAAGTCAAAGGAAAACCGAACCCCGTTCGGGGTCGTGGAAAGTTCCCTGATTTTGAGACAGTTATCAAACATAAAAGTCAACTTCACAGGGAAGATTGCGGTTCAGAGCTCCGCTCCCACCGTGGCTCCTGGCATCATCTTTCACGTCCTGTAGCTGGAGCAAGCTTACAGGAGCTTTCCGAGCCAGCCGACTCTCCTCCAGAAGGCCGATGGTATCCTCAGACGCCACAAGGACAGCCGCAAACAATGTGACAAGGACGTGCACAAGCAACAGACCAATCGAACAAAAAAAGAAGCAGGCACTCACTTCCTGAGTGGCTTGAAAGTGGTCGTCCTACCAAGCGCATCAAGTCCAGGAACTCAGTGAGGACACTGGAAGTTTGATGTTTAACACCACTTCTTACTTGATGGTTCTTCGGGTTTGTCTCAAAGTTAGGAACTTCAAAGGGACAAGGATTTGCCCGAAAAAAAACCAGCCTCAGCTCTTGGCCCCCAACAAATAATGAGGTTTTTGATCTGGGCCCATATGGGTGAGTTTTGACTACTCTTTTGGTGTGGAAAAACCACATGAACAACCACTAGTTTTGGGAATCCCCAGAGAACCCCAAGAAGACACACCCATATTTATTGAGCTTGAACATGTAAGATCATTTCAAAAGAGATTCCCGCAGTTAAAGATGGGTCTTCTGATTCCCCCCATCAGTGGCATTCTTTTAGAAACAAATGGCGCCATGAGCGCATGCCAGCTTCACTGACTCTATTTGCCATCACTACCTTGGACCCAGGCAATCACTTTCGACACATGTGGCAGACCCTCCAGCTTTCTCTGTCTCAAGATGGGTGTCCTTTTTCGGGGACCTAAAATGGAGATGTGTCCTTTCGCTCCCCCTTTAAAACCACCAAGAAGGGTACCCGCAGAAAAACAACTAACTAAACCCTTGGATCCTCTTCAAGACCACCTGGGGACCATTCGCGGCAAGCACCCCTACATTGAGAAACACCCAAATCCCTGCAGTACGTGGGTTTGTCCTTCAGGGCACCCCCAAAATAAGTCAACCCCGACCACTTTGAGTCAACCCTTGTGACAAAACAAGGGACCCCCCAAATGTGGTTTCCTTTGGGTTTCCCGTTACAAGACTACTCCTCACTTCCTGAGTTCCTGGACTTTATACATTTCGGGAAGACCATTTTGGTAGCAGTTTGGAATTTTGTTTTGGCCAATCCACTCGGGAAGTGAGATATGGGGGTTGGTTAGGTTGTTTGCTTGGGAGCTTTAGGGTAGGTTTCCTCGAACCTTGCTTTAAGAGAAAACCTGTTTTGGCTTTGTCGGGATCTATGTCAACGACTCCAAAAGCGCACTGAGCCTCCAAACAGATTCCGAGGCGCCGCGATTGCTGAAAGCTCCTCGTGCCGTGCTGCCTCGTGCTGGTCCCATTCCGCGGCCTTCTCCTGCGGAAATCCCGGACGAGGCACATGAGGTTCATGTGTTGATTTCCCCAACAGCTGAGCTTTCAGGGAGGGTTCCGCAAATGGTTCCGGAGCTGGAGATACCACCTCAGGGATTGAAAAGCAAGAGGCAAACCGCCTTTTAAAAAAAGGAAAGAAAAAAAACAACGCCCATTTAAACAACCGGTAGAAATCAGATGGGCACGAGTATGCAGGATATGGCTCACACATAGGGCCCAACATGGAATCCTGGCTCAAATGGAAGAGTAATTAGACTCAAACCTGAAAGCAACACCATTCAAGGACCCAATGACCCGTCAAGGTAACTTACCCTTGTAGACAAGCCTTGGAGGAGGCGTGGAGAAAGGTGAGACACATGTTCCATCCCCTTTTGACCGCGGTTTAGATTGAACGTTGTGTGCTTGCGCGCAGAATCACCTCGCCTGCAAAGAAGGCTCGCCTGAGAATCTTCGTGGAATCCCCCAAAAAGGATGCTGCCCAAAAGGAGGTGAGTCATACTCAAGACCTGGTACTAAAATGGTCGTAATCCCAGAGCCATGCTTCAAGAATTCACCAGGCTCTGATCTCCGCAGCCATTCATGGCAAGGGGTCCCCGAGTCGGAATTTTGAGCCAGCGGCTCAGGTGTTTTTTTGCGGAGCTTCGGGGAGGCCGATGGGGCTCAGGTGGGTTTCCCGTGGCAGACTGTTTTTTTGTCCAGCTTGAAACCTGTGTTTGTTGGTATTTACAGGGGAATCATCATTCCAAGGTTTCTTAGGTGGTGCAGGATTTCGTCCATCCACAGTATGTTGTGCACACATGCCATGTAAAGATTGAACCGCCCTTTCACGGCAAACATAGGGGACTCTGGACAAGAATACCGAAAGGACACCAACACGGAAAACCAAAAAGGAAAACCGAAGGGGAAAACCTGACTATGACTCACTGGTCAGCAGAATATGATTATTGGAGTTCCATCCCCAAAAAAGAAAGAAAGAAAAAACAAATAAATAACAAAATCAAGAAGCAAGTGACAAGTTGGTTGCCACCCAGTTTGTAAGCGGTTGATGACCCTAGTTGATATTTAGTACGTCCCCTCAGTAGGGGTTGCCCTGCATACAACCCCGCTGTGGGACTTGCTGGAAAGGGCTTAAGTGATAAGCCCAGGTGATATCCTCAACAGGTCCGGAAATTCCTGGAACTCTTTTGAACCTTCTTTCACCGCCCCAAACCACCTCTCGCCTATCTGGGCCTGTCGACCCCAGGACGCTTTCAGCTGGAGAAATATATCGCCGGTTGAAGGCACGGAAAAGAGTCAGGAGGGACCTTTAAGTTTCAAGAAAATCTCTTCAGGCATTCAATAGATGTGGTGGAAATAGTGACATTTTATGTCTAGGTCCTCCAGTAGAGAGGTTAGAATAAGGGTAACAACTTTTTTCTGTACACTATTTTAGTAGGGGAACCCTCCCAGCCAAAAAAGGGTAAAAGAGAGGGCACCTAGCTGGGGGACCTAGATGTATTTGAGTCATGATCAAAACCCGGTACTAAAATGCATGGTCGTAATCCCAGAACCATGCTTCAAGAAATAAGAAGGCGGATGTCCGCAGCTATTTATGGCAAGGGGATTGTCCCTTACTAAGCTTCATCAATCCCCGGGCTTTGAGCACGTGGCTTGCGTGGGGATGGGGGGGAGTTTACCTCTAGAGCTTTCCATAGGAGTCACTGTTGGCCTTCACGGCAGCAGGAGGGGCTTGGGACTATTCTATTCAAATCGCTTTGAGGACGTGGCTCATTTGACTTTGACCTTTTGACCTTTTGACCTTTGACGCCCTCGAGCCCTCGAGCCCTCGAGCCCTCGTGCTCCTGGCACTGTTGCTGCAGCTCCGCCAGCATCTGCCGGTTCTCATCTCTCTGGGACTTCTTCTCCTGCGCGTCCTGAGCTCGTCGTTACATGCTACTTCCATTTGGTTAAGGCCCCAGGAAAAATATGTTTTAAACAAAATGTCCAGTAGTGATGAATTCCTTTTTAAAATTTAAAAGCAACAAGGGAAAATAATAAAATCATATTCTTAAGCAAATGGAGGGTTACTGAAACTAGGGTTAATTACTGCTCACTTCCTGAGTGGATTGGCCACCAAAAGCTTGAGCTTCTTATTTGCCACCAAAATGGTCTTCCTAAAAAGTTTAAAGTCCACGAAATCAGGGAGTGAGGCTGTTTATCTTCCCTCCAAGCGGCGGTTTGGTTTGGTGGTTTGGTGGTGTCTTCGGAGATGGATTATTTCATCCCATTTACCCTGTACAAGAACCAGGCGTTCGAATCTCCAGTCCACCAAATTGGGGTAGCTTTATCTAAGTTGAACGCGGCCCCCTGCGAAAGTGGGTTGATCTCGCTATTGGTGTGTCTTTCTGTATTGGACGCCCCCCGCAAGGCGGTTGCCCTTTGGGTTGTCCCTGCACACAGCAAAACAAGGGTTCAACACAAAAACTGCCCGAGCCAAGTCAGGGAGCCGTTGCATCCTAGTGACCAAGCTTATCGTGACACTCGCAGTGGCTTTTCAGCCAGCTACTGCGGATGGACGAAATCCATTTCGCACCACCTAAGAAACCCCAAAATGATGATTACCCTGTAAATTCCAAGAAACAATGGTTTCCCATGGTTTCAAAGTGCTGCAGGATTTCGTCCATCCACAGTATGACAGGGATCCTCAGTTTCCCATTTTTGGACCTCCAATTTGAAGAAGGCCCAGTAAGGACAAGTTAGAGCCACATCCATCGTATGACTCCCCTTGCTATGGCTCTGAATCAGTATCGCAAACCCAACTTCTTCACCAGCCGGGTTAAGCCCGCCGCTTAAACATGTTTGAACCCTAAAACAGCCAAATGAATCATCCTTGACTTGTGTTTATCCGACACCCCAAAAAGGTGGTTTTCCTCTTGGTGTCCCTCCCTTTACAGCCACCAGCCAATAAAGACGTGTATATATGTGATTCGGGCACGAGCCTGTGCCCAGGCAATGGGTAAGTTGGGGTAAACAAGCCACAAAAGAAAGGTTCCCCAAAAGCAAACCAATCCCCGGTCCCAAAGATCAGGGTTTCCCACACACCAGAGAACAACAACCAAAAGGAAACAAACCAAACAAGAAAAGGGTTAACCCGCAACCTTGGTCGACAACAGGCCGCACGACTGGTCCCTACCAACCTGGCGGCGGCCCGAGGTCTCTTTCTCCCCCGAGATGCCGTCGGTCGACGCAGGGGTTCGGCGACGCCCATTCGAGGCGCGACGGAACCCAAAACTTGAGCCAAAACACCACAGGTCGGTCACTAACGCGACGTCCCTGATGATGATATTAACCATGGCTAATCACACCCCCCTCACGAGGAGCCCGTCATATGACGGGTGGAGCGTGCCATTTACTGATAGGATTTAACTGCTCGCATGTGTCCGCAAACAGCTGGACACTACCGCCGTCAGCGGTGGAGCAAACCCACAAAGGCAGTTGCGCGACATCCCGGGCATTAAATTCCCGCCACCACCCCGAATTAATCGGGGTAACGCTGTCCAACATACCTTGTGGAAAGGTCCACATGACGACACTAGGTCACAACTGTTTGCATCAACAATGCAAGAAGTTTAATTCTTATCAGAAGCCATGAAATAAAAGATAACGTATGTCCATTAGTACCCTCGCCTAACGGCAAGAGGTACTCCTGACCATGCGTACCTGAAAAATGCTTGAATTCCGCAAACGCGGGAGTAACCCCCCATCAGTTTGCTTTCCCTCTCACTCACACTGCTTCCTGATGAACACGTCCAGCAGCCCAGCAGCGGTATGGGAGAGACATGACCTCCGCGCCTCAGCGGTCCGGGAGGAACATCACCACCTCCGCACCGCGCCGACCATTGGAGAATGGACGCAAGCCTATCGGCCGCAATCCTCGTGACTCAGCCTACCGGCTATCGTCACGTCTCCTCCGGTCACGCCCGCCCCGCGCACGGTCCCTATCACGATCCCTTTCGGATCTCCTGCGATCATCTCGCCTTCGATCTCGCTCCCGATCAAGTGAATCATCATCACGACGATCACGAGCATCGTCCCTCCTCCTGTCGCGATCATCCTCGCGCCGCGGACGGTATCTGCGCCTCCTCGACTCTCTGGAATCCCTGGTGTCCACGGTCCTAACGGACCTCCGAGAAGGAGTACGGGAAACATCCGATTCCCTATGCCTCCTCCCAGATCGAGAGTTCGTCACGATCTGGTTGAGAGCCTCCAGTGCCGACGCGTCCTCACCATTCCTGATGAAATCCCTGACCTGCTTGTTCAGCACTCTATTTGTGGAGATCGACAAGAAAGCGTCCACCACCGAACTCTCAGGCAGCACCAGGAAGTGACCCTCCACCGGGCTCGCCGCAGCCCGCTCAGCAGACTGCAGCCGGATCTCCCCGCCTTCAGGCTTCTTTGCCATCGCCTTGGAGGCCGTCAAAGGCGCTACCGCATCCTTTGCCGAAGATCTGCCAAGCGCGGAGTGAAGATCATCCCCGCTAGCTTCTCTCGCTGCCGCACCTGGTCTGCTGTCGACGTCGCCAGGCCTCGTGGACGCCTCCCGCTTTGTCGACTCCTTCGCAGCCTCGTCGGGATCCCAACGGGATTTCCTTTCTCTCTTCTGTCCTTCGGCCGACCCGCGGCTACCGCCGGGAGCGTCACCTCCGCCTGTCTTCTCCTTCTTGACCTCAACCTTCGGTTCGGCCTGCTTCGTCTCCTTAGCCACAGCTTTTGGAGCCGGAGCACCCTTCGCCTCAGATGCTGAAGTAGCCTTCCCTCTCGGCTCGGCCTTAGGAATCGGGGTCATTTTAGCCCTGGCACTCGGCCTGGCCCCTTCAACCACCATCTCGGCCCAAGACTTCTTCGGCTGAGCTGCTGCTGTATCAACCTCCATCGGAGCAGGTCCAGCATCATCCTTCGCCTTTGGGACAGATGGGCTACCGCCCTTACCAGATCCTTTTCCTGGCACTTCACCTGATTTTGGTGGTGGGCCGGAAGGACTACCGCCCTTTCCGCCCTTTTCCCCTTTCTTCCCTTTCCCTTTTCCGCCCTTGGGAACCGGCTCCTGCTTGGGACCAGGACCCGGCGCAGCATGATGCACCGTTTGGAGTCCCTCGATGTCCACGTTCAATGGTTCGGGTTGACGACCGTCAAGAACCGTCCTCACCCTTTCGTCACTAACGTAGACGAACGGGTCACGGAAGGGTGCGGGAGGCTCCGACTGTCCGGCGCTGATCGCCTTCTGCACCTTGGCTATCGCCTCCTTCAACCTCTTCTTCTCATCGTACCCCGTCTCCGATACCATGTACTTCCTGAGCTGCGAAATCAACGCATGACTCTCCAGGATGTCCACGTCCTTTCGATGGGTCGGGTACAATGGGGTCAGATGACCAGCCGCGGAACCAATCACGTAAGCCATCGGAATATAGAATGACAAGTACGTGTCATGACGAGCGAACTTCCTAACGGAAGTCGTCATACGCCTACCCCACTGAGCAGCGTGTCTTGGGTTGGCCCGGAAGTACTCCGTGACCGACTCAAATTTATCGACTTGGTTGGTCTTGATCAGGTGCTTCGCCACCCACTTCTCCACAAACGCATCCGAGGCCGAAATCCCGGACACATAGGAGAATTGGAAGAGCACCTTCGCCAGCTCATCCCACGCCGCATCGACACCTCCCTTGTCTTCACCAAGATAAGGGGGAAGTCTGATGCCGCTCTGCACCGTCATCCTCAGATCGGATGCCATTGAATAGGAAATCAAATTCCTCTTGATGACTCCGACCACTTCGGAGGGGATCCTCCTGGGCTTGAACTGCCCCATGGTCCTCACCCATTCCGGCACGATGTGGCATCTTTCGAAGTCCTTTTCCTCCGCGTTGGGGATAAAGTTCGGGTAAAAGACCGGGAGCGCGCACCCGGGACACAAGTGCATCCCATTTGGCATCAATTCTGCGCACCTCAAGCAGAACGTGGCAGTCACATTCAGCCTGATCTCTTCCCGTGATCGCCTGTGCTCTCCCCTAACGGGGGTGAAGTCACCGTAGTCCCATGCCCGATGGTACACTATCGTGTAATCATCGTACATATACGCCGCCTTCCAAGCCCCCATGTGGATCTCGTTCCTAACGGCAAGAGTCTTCCTTCTCGTCAAAAACACGGGTCCAACCAAGGACCAGTGCACCCGAAGATCCACCATTACCACCACGTACCTACCGGAGTAGTTCCGCAGCCTGTCCCTGACATACCACGAAGGCGATACCTCAGCATCCGGCGCCATGGCTCCCACAAGTGGGATCAGGCCCTCATCCTGCCTACCATCCCCAATGGTCTCGTACACATCGGGCCTCGTGATCAATATCTCGATCATGGCCTTTCCATTTCGCCTCACCCTTTGGAGCTGAACCGCCTTCCGAAAGTCCGAGAACTTCATGATGACGTATCCCACCATGGGGAGTTCATTCCAATGCATCTCATACATCAGAGATCCGCCAGGTGCATCTTCCTGAGTATACCTGTGCCTAACGGCACTGTAACTCAAGTCGCGTCCGATCCGCGTGTGCCTAACGGCAACCAACCTGGTGCTCTCCTTGAGGAGAACGCCATCCCCGTCGTACATGACCATGAGCATCGCCTCCACTTGCCCTATCGGGAAAGCTTTAAGCGTCGGAATGAAGAACTTCCAAGACATCTCAGCGTTCTCCATGCCCGAAATCTCCTTCAGGAACCAGATGGCCTGGTCACTTTTCACCCAGTTTCCAGCCTCGCGTCCGGTCTCCTTCAGCACACGTTCCTCGAATAACTCCGAGACTCTCTTTGAATTGATGACCAAGCCGTCGAAATCGCACGAAAAAATCTCATCAACTCCTTCGCCGCCTCCCGTCCTGCAACA